GTTGTTCTTGACTGTGGGTCACATTTTCCCTTTCCTTTATAAGTCTAATAACTTTGCATTTCATAGGCATTGCAGAGACTCTGCAATGTTGTTGTTTTCACTTCCTTCTGAAAAATATTTATTCTTCTTTCAGCAGAGTTCAACTGCTGGCAAATCACCCTGAGTTTCTGGAGGTTTGGTGTTACGCTTCATTGCGTTTTGTGGAAAGTCAGGGATGTTTCCCAAATTTCTGTAACATGGTGATGCCTTGACATTTTGCTTTAAAAATCATCTTATTTGCTAAAATATCTGTAGAACTGCATCCTTTGTGTGATTCAATTCTTAAAATCCAGTCAAATGAATATGTCTGTACTCTTAAAGAGTGAGATGACTTTGAAATACTTGGAAAACATTTTAACATAAATATAGCTTCTTTTTAAATTGTTGATTGTGAGAAATAGTTTTAGACCATTAATGTAGCTCTAAAATTCACATAACAAAGAATTGACAATATTTTAAAGTGAAAACTATACTAAAAACCCATTTTGATAATTTACCTAATAAACTTGCTACATTTTCAGTTTGGGAAGTTCACATTGTTTTTATTGTGTCTTATTAAATCAGTTAATAATGTTCCTGTAAGTTAAGTGCATTTTATCGTATTGCACTTTGCATATTTCTAGGAATTTAACAGGATGAAGCTTTCCATATATAAAAGTATGAATCAAAATGATGTGAATGCCTACATTTAATAGTTTTGAGGAATTAACTGAAACAGTTTTAGCGTCCTCTGCATTGGTCACAGGCTCACTGTAGCTGAGTGTTGGCACCAGAAATAGGAGAATCACATGGCCCTCTTGCCATAAGCTCTTTTGAGAATGACATTTTGAATATTGTTATCCTACCTTAGTTTTAAGAATCTATTTTTATACCAGCTGCTATATTTTCTCTGTCCTTCTCACATCAAAAGGAGACAAATGGATGTGATATACACCAGTAGAACGACTGGCTGTAACCAAGTTGTTTGAGATTTGAGGTCTGACCGTGGCTAATTGGAGCAAGGAGACTTAGAATGCCCAGAGTAGTTTTGAATTTATATGCTGAATGTTACTCAGACCTGAATTTCCTTGCTTTTCCTTCAGACTTTACTCCGTATATTGTTTGTATGTTTTGAGAACTTTGCTTCAGACATTCGTGCTACTTTAAAAGAAGGATCTCTTTTAGATTAGGGTGCTGACAATGTATATTGAAAGATGAATTTCTAATTATGTGATGTATTAGTAGTCACATTTTATTATTCCCTTCAGTAGCTGAGAACTTTGAAAGCAGCACACATTGAAGCATCCAGAAAAAAGAGTCCTACGTGCCACCACTTCAAGGACATACTGATGTTCTTGAAAGCCTTTGTTGTTACCTTTGCCTCACGTATGTGCTGTTCTTCTGGAATTAGGAGATACCTTTTTTTTTTTTTTTTTTTAAAGAACTTAGATCACAGTGCTTCAGGTTTTTGGCTGTAACTCTGAAAGCATTATTAGGGGTTTGAGGCCTCCCCTAGACATCTAGAAATCACGTACCCGTTCGTACACTTCAGAGATCTGGGAACCGAGGCCCAGAGAGTTTTGCAGGTGCCCTGGCAGAGCTTCTCCCACTGTCTGTGGTAGAGAACCAGACAGTTCTCTACCCAATTCATGACAGACTGTTTTGTAAACCATAGTAAAAATGAAGTACAAGAACAGGTAATTTTTAAATGACATGCATGGTTCTGAATGCTTCCTCCTGATTTCTGTGCTTGTCTCAGTGCATGGATCATGGCGTGTTCCAGAACTAGGAGAGTCCACAGACTTCACTGGGTTCATTGCTGCCCCCAGCCGGGCTTGGCACTCCATGGCCCATGGGCCAATTTAGACTCATCACTGGTTTTTTGTATGTCCTGCAAGCTAAGAATTGTTTTTACATTTTAAATGATATTTAAAAATTCACAATAATAATATTTTCTGACACATGAAAATTACATATGACTCATTTTCAGTGTGTTTAAATAAACTTTTTTTGGAATGCAGCCACATTCATTCTTTTAAGCATTTGTCTGTGGCCACTTCCTCCCTGTAATGCTGGAGTGGAGCCAGGGATGAGTCGTCGGGGTGAGACCATAAGCTCTACAAAGCCTAATACATGTACTGTCCGGCTCTTTACAGGAAATGGGAAGATCTGAATATCTGGCTTTAGGACAAAATTAGGAGTTAGTGGTAGAGTTAAGAGTACAAACAGGCTCTACATTTTTTTAAAATGTGTTTTAAAAATTACTATATTTCATACATATTTTGCCACTTTTGTTCCTATTTAATCCTGTTAGTGATATTCTTTTATAAAAGTTACATAGGTGTAGATCCCTCTGGTCTAGTTTTAGATAACTTTCTTGCTCCTGAAACTCAACTCTGTTTTGAGGGTGTTTTTTTTTTAACTCATATCTGGTGAATTAAAAATTGGTGAATTAAATATTTCCCAATGTGCATTTTATTATCACATTAATAAAATACCCTCTGGTCCAGAAAATTCATCTTCTTCTTCCTTACTGTCAAATTTTTCTGCAGTGGATGTTTCTGTGTGTTCAGGTCCAATGATCTTTGGGTGTGACTCAGAAAGGTTTAGTAAACATTATTTCTAGTCAAAAAAATGTTTCTTTGAAAACCACCTAAGTAAAGAAACTGCAACTAAACTTCAATGGCAGGTTTCTGCTGCAAAATAGCAGATATAGCAGGCGAAGTACTGATGACAACAAAGAAGACTGGGGTTTTAGGTGGCTTTTGGAGGAACAAGATGCTTTCAGTGCTTCGCCTCTGCCACTCATTAAGCTGCAGAATAAAAGCTCCCATCATATTATGGTGAAGCCTTGGTAAATGAACATACTGCTTTTTTTTTTTTTTTTTTTGATGTGTGCAGTAAAAAACTCTGTTCCATGCCGCAGTTAATTCTTTGTTTTCCTGCCTGTGTGTATGATCTCTCAGCAATATGTGGCTACAAAGACAGAGCAATAGCTGTCAGCCCTATACTTGATACAAGAGTCTGCTTCATGACACGGACCCTCTAAAAGCCAGATCTTCAGGTTGGGATTTCTTCCTGGAATAAAAAAATATTGCTGTGAAAGCTTATTCATAATGATGACAGAGTAAATACAGTTTGGTACTGTGGCATTTGCTATTTTTATACTTGCTATATTTGACTCCGCTTACTCTTGAGTCAGTTTATAAACATCTGTAAAATAATTATGTCCATGCTTAATTAAGAATAATATAGAGCCCTGGCTGGTGTAGCTCAGTGGATTGAGCATGGGCCTGGGAAGCAAAGGGTTGCTGGTTCGATTCCCAGTCAGGGTACATGCCTGGGTTGTAGGCCAGGTCCCCAGGAGGGGGCCATGTGAGAGGCAACCACATATTGATGTTTCTTTAACTTTCTTTCTCCTTCCCTTCCCCTCTCTCTAAAAATAAATAAATAAAATATTTTTTAAAAAAGAATAAAATAATAAAGTTTTTGCAAAATCTCACTGTATCTTTTCAAGCCGTGGCTAATTTTTATCATCCCAAGTCTGAGAGTGCCAGTGATTTCATGCAGGAGCTGCTGATCAACAGTGCCCTGCAGCTGTGGCCTAATTCTAGGTAGGGCTGCTCCTTTGTACGTTCTAACGAAGCCATTGACTGGGTGGCTTATGCATTAAAGAAAGAGGGAGAGCTTTGTAAACAGCAGGATGTATGAGGATTGTCTTTCAAATATTCCAAAAGAATGTATATACTTTAGCATAGAACTATTAATGAATGAAAATTTGGGACTCAAGAGCAGATGTTTTTAGACATTGCATAACATATTTTTAAATACGTATTTGAATTAAGTTTCTGCTTTGTTTTAAATATGTCCTGTTCTCTTAAGGAGTGCACAAAATCCTATTTGAGCTAATAGAATAGCTTGTGGTTGACCTTTGCTTACTTGAACTAGTTTTTTTAATTGTATTTTTTTTACTGTTGTTGTTCATGTACAGTTGTCTCCATTTTTTCCCCATCCGTCCCCCCCACCACAGCCATGCCCACCTCCCACCCTCAATCCTGCCCCCCTTTGGCTCTGTCCATGCGTCCTTTATGAACTAGTCTTTACTATATTTATTAGTTTAACCATTGGCTGGGTAGTGTTACTGCAACACCTGTCATCATCCCCGCCCCTATTCTAGATGTAGTTAAGAAACATTTTAGATTGATCAGTTGTTTTATCTGGATTTTACTTAAGCATTGGTTGTCTTTATATCCCCATATCGAAGAATTCTCTATCTCTACTTTCTACCCAATATAGCATGTTCGGTATTTATTCCTTAGCATATGTTATAGTGATTGAGTTTCTGTTTCTAAACATTTTTGATGGAGAGAATTATTGTAAAAGGCAGTTCTTTGCAGCTCGACTGCGGGGGACCAGAGTCACATGCATTGCTGTGTCTGTGAAACTTCTTGGAAGCAAGCCAGTATGTTAGGGTGAGAGATTTATATGTAAGTGGTGAGCCACTAAAAGGCTTGCACAGTATCACAACTCCTCTTAGGAGAGGAAGTGTTAGGAAATTCAGCTGTAAAGCAGCAGCAGCAACAAGCAGCCACAGTGCTGTTGTAAAGACAGGGCCGGTTCACAATTAGCCAGTTAACGTGCTGCACGGTGCCAGGCAGTGAGCACACAGCCTCCCATCCTGCTGCCCGAAGGCAGCAGACCCAAACTGTCTCTTGCAAGATTTGCCTGGTTTCATGTTTATGATGTTCAGTCATGTGACAGTACTGTACCATAAGTTGCCAACTTTGCTGTACTCTAGAGAGGATCCTCTGCTGCAGTGCTTTTTTCCCCGTTCTTTCTCTCTCTTTCTCCTTTTTTTTTTCTCGAAAGAGAAAAACACTGTGCAATGTATGTGTATGCCTACACCATGCCGAGACGCCACTTCCCAGTAAACAATCCTTGTGTCCCCGAGGTAAGATACTGTTTCTGCTTCCCCTGCACAGTGCTGCTGCAGCACGGAGCTGATCCGAACATTCGGAACACTGATGGGAAGTCAGCCCTGGACCTGGCGGACCCTTCCGCAAAGGCTGTGCTCACAGGTAAGCAGACGAGAGCCACCACGTTGTTGTATCTGTGGCACGACTGGCTTGATTTTAGAAAATCTTTATGCACTGACTTTCATTTGTTTCTATTGATTAAGCTCAATGAATATATATGCCATTATCTCTACTTCATTATTGATTTGATACATTAACAGTCTCATTAATTCTGTGCTTGCTCTTATAAGCATTAAGCAATAAGATTGTTTACTTAGAATTTCTGAGAATTATAGCATTCCATGATAGTATACATTATTCACTCATGTTTTAGTCGTTTTTTATGGTTTAGATCATAATTTTCTTGTACCTCATCTTCTCAGTTGATTCTTTTGAAGACCTTCACTGTGGAGCAAGCAAGGGCATTTGGATTTCACTTGATAAAAGTAGTTTTGATCGGAAAGACAACCTGCTGCCGTACTGCTCGGCTCAATAGTTAAATAAAATATGATGCTGCTCTTTCCTTGCCACACCATTTATATTTCTATCATATCTTCTCACTTGACCATGTTACCTAAGTACTTTCTGAGGCAGTGTATTACCTTTTTACTTCAGATAAGGAAAATTTCTGCCTTAAGTATTGTTTTCATTAAGACAAATGTCAAGAACCAGCAAAGAGGAAATGGTCTCTCATAATAGAATAGAATAATGCTGTAAGTAATATGGTATTGAAAACTGTTTAAATTGATCTTCATTCTCAGAATGCTGCATTGGATCTATTTTTGTTTTTATTCTTAGCATCTGAGTTCTGCTGCCTTTGCCTCCTTTTACTTAACTGACCTTTGCGATTTGGAGCCTTTGTCACTGCAGTGCCAGGAGTGTTGTTTTAAGTGCGTGCAAGTAAACGACTGAACTTCCTTTCAGTATGCCCATGTTTGAAGAAAGTAAATCTTTTATTCACTGTTAAGTATAGCATCCATGCTGTGCATTTTTAACAAAGATTATGAGGTGAATGGAAAGCATTTACATACAGAAAGCCTTTAAAATATGCAGAATTCTGGTTAATTATTCTGTATGAAAAAACAACTTCCTTCCTGCCATGTTAATATAATCTCTGCTATATCAGAGTAATATGATTTCTGTCAATTAAAAGGTTAGGTGATTGGGATGCTGAATCAAGATAACATATACTGGGAGAGTAAAGCTGTTTTAAAGCAGTGTAGATAAGAAGAAATTTAAATATAAGATTTTAACTAATGAAGTTGACATGCATAGCCCCAGGCCTGCCCAGGCTCGGCAGCCCTTACGGGCCGTCCTTTCACTAAGCCCTGGGCGGCAGTGGCAACGGTGGGCTGGTCCCTGACTAAAGGAGAGATGTGGTGGCCGTGACAGGGGCAGGGTATAAATACTGACCAGCACCGTCGCTCGGTCTAGATGTCCTCCCTCTGACCTTTGCTTCTCTTCAGCCCTCAGCTCCTGCCTTGTCCATTTGTTAGATTCATTTAATGCAATGCTGCTTTTTTCTTAAAAGACAGAGTTTTAAATATAAGTTAATTGAAAACAAGAAGTTACCTCCTAATTTGGAATGAACTGTAGGGGATATTATATTGGCTATTGTTGGTTTGGGACAGAGTGGGGGCATCATAGCTCTGGAGGCTGAAGATTCCTGGAGAACAGATACCATGTCGGTGTGTTAAACTTGACCTGAGAGGCATCTGACACTGTACCTTTGCTTAGGTAAGGAAGATATAATTCTTCCTGGTCATAATATTGTTCATTAATTATTCTCTTCAAGAATATTTACTGTTTTTGGAAATGGCATACAACTTTTCAGTTACGATATAAAAGAAAAGCATTCTAGAACATTCTAGGAATAGTAGTTAACTTTGGAAAATATAAGCCACCGATATTTGTACATTCATGTTATATAATGCAGTGAAATAACACTTAAGTGAACTATATTTCCAAATGTTTTTCTGCCCATTGCAGGTTCTCTTCTAAGCAATTTTTTGGAATTATAGTGGAAGTATTTTTTCTGAAGCTAAATTTAGAAGATTAAGCATTGATAAAAAGGACATGTTTTGAAAGGAATGACTTAGAGTTATTAGAGATCGTTCTGGGTGGTGTGTCGTTATTTTTATGGCAGATGCGGTTGTAGTACCAGTACCTTGAGATCGAAGTGTCTGTTCTTAATTTTTTTCCTTCTTAGGAATATATTTGCTAAAGATGACTTTACAGTGTTTTGGGTTTTTTTTTTTTTTTTTTGCATATTACTACTGTGCATAAGCCAAAACTATGTAAAGGTATATATGTATATTCATTAAAGGGAATTAGCAAAATGAAAATCTCTTTTTACAGAATATTTTAAACTATGTAATTGAGTAACGTGCTTTTCTGCATAAAGAATGCGTGGATTTTTACAGAGCTGTACTAAACAACTCTTACAGTTAAGGGACCCCAGCAAACAGCCATTTGCTTTGGAGAGTCCATCCAGGTAGAGAATAATTAATTGGAGAGATTTATGAAACTCTCTACTAAATTGTTATGTTGAGTGAATGACATGCCTAGAAGAAATCTTGAGGGGTTTTTTGTTGTTGTTTGATTGATTTTTTTGTTGTGGTTAATGCCTCTGAAGTTCTGGGCAGTCAACTGGACTTAGAGGTGGTTTTGATTATTTTTTAGGAAGCAAGAGTATAAAAAGTCTAAAACAGCTTATGTAAACTTTATTGAAGAATAGTTTTGGTGTGTTACCATTATGGTTTTTAATATTTATTTTGGCCTCCCCCCTCGCTATAATAAGTTATACTTATTGTGGAAATTAAGGAAAATATGAAAAGTAAAAAATTATTTGTAACTCCACCACCTAGAGAGAACATTTTGGGTACAGTTTATTTATAATTTTCTAAGTACACACACCCTACATTCTTCTTTCTCTTTAGTGAAATCAACCTTGTGTGTTACATATTGCTTAATAATCTTTTTAATTTTTTAAAAAGATTTTATTTATTTACTTTTAGAGAAGGGGGAAGGTAAGGAGGAGAGGGAAAGAAACATTGACATGTGGGAAAATCATAGCACATGTCCCAAATGGGGACTGGCCTGCAATGCAGGAATGTGCTCTGACTGGGAATCGAACTGGCAACCTTTCACTTTGTAGGACAGTGCCCAGCCAACTAAGCCACATTGGTCACGGCCTTTTTAATTTAATCCTCATCCAAGGGCATGATTATTGATTTTAGAGAGAGGGGAAAGGAGAAAGGATAGGGAGAAAAAAACAGCAATGTGAGAGAGAAACATCAGTCCATTGCCCCTACATGTGCCCTGACCAGGGACTGAACCCCCAACCTAGGTATGTGTCCTGACCAGGAATTAAACCAGTGACCTTCTGGTTTATGGGATGATGCTCTTACCAACTGAGCTACGCTGGCCAGGGCCTTAATATTCTTTTTTAAAAAAATAATTACGTGTGTATTCTCAAAAGGCATTAAGTATTCTTCTGCAACATGAATTTATAATGTCTTTAATAGTATCCTTCTGTGGGTATATTTTAGGTTTTTTTAGCCAATCCTCTAGTGTTTACCATTAAGGTAGGTTGTTTCTTCTTTGTGAATTTGTCATTTTATCACTTCCGTGGGAATTGCACTTCTTTACCGTGTTCAGTCTTAGCATCCACCCATGTTATATCCGTTCCTGGCTGGCATGTGTAAGGGTTTGGAGAACGAGGCACTTCCCAGTTCAGGGGTTGCAGTGGGCGAGCCACACTGAAGTTAGAGGTGGTCGGTCGACAGAGGGGACGCTTACTGCAGTGGGTCGGGATGTAGAGGTCTTTGCTAATCTGGTGAGGGCACACTGGGAAATTGGGTCAGGAAAAGAGGTGACAGTAGATGGAGTCTGCGGACAGAGGACCAAAGCAGAACCAGAGATGACAGTGATATAAACTGGGTGAATTGACATGGTCACAAGGTTGTCATGTAGTTGGTCCCAGCAGTTTCTTAGTAGATTTGGGGGTACAGGAGTACAGAAGAAGGGTGTATTTGCACCAGTGTGTCTCAAGAATAAGCTTCATCTGGTTTCATTGCACTTGGGAGGAAATCCTAGTCTGTGATTGATGGGCTGGCTCCTAGGCTTTCCAGAAAGAATCAGCTGTGGCTCAGGCAAAAGGCGGTGGTGAGCGGCCTGGTGTGTGCTTACTGAGCCTTCTGTGTTAAATCAACAAAATATATCTGGAATCCTACCCCTTTTTTCCTTCTCCAGTGCTTCCTGCTGCTTTTTAGGTAAAACCAAAGCCTTCAACATGATCAGACTTAAATGACCCTGCCTGTGTATGTTCGACTACTAGGTTTTGCTCAAGCCAAAGTCAGATTTCTTTCTATTTCTTTTATACATTGCATCGAACCTGCCAGTGATTTTGGCCTATCATACTTAGATCCCCACCCCTACTACTTCTTACCAGCTTCACTGCTTTGGCCCTAGTACACACCTTCATTGTGGTGGGGTTTTTATTTATTTATTTTTAGTTTTTAGAGGAAGAAAGCAATAGAGAGAGAAACATTGGTGTGTTACTCCATTTATTTATGCATTCATTGGTTGCTTCTTGTATGTGCTCTGACTGAGGATCAAACCTGCAACCTTGGTGTTTGGAATGAGCTACTGGGCCAGGGCCATCTTTCTTTCATGATAGCAGTAGCCTCACGATGAGTCTGTGTGCCTCCACTTACACTTCCCTCAGGTCTCACTGTGGCCCAAGTGGTCTTTCTAAAGCGCAATCTGCCCTATGATTAGAAAACTCTTTAATATACTCTCATTACCCCTGAATAAAATCCAAACTCTTTAATCAGACATTACCGTGACCTGGCGCCTGATTCATACATAGCTCTGGTCTTGTCTACTACTCTATTTCACCTTGATCTCTTTGCTTCAGGTACAACTGGATACTTGCTGTTCCTCAAACAGAGGAAGCCCATTTCTGTGTCTGGATTAACACATGCTATTTACTGAAACCAGGACACTGCCCCAGAGCTTCACGTGATTTATCAGTTTCATCTCCACTCAAAGAGATGGAG